AGAGAATTCTGCATTAAAGCCTGAGGGCCAGATACATAATCAACCTGCTAAGCAAGGCAGCTACCTGACTGCGGGTGTGCTGCACAGGGGCCCTTCTTCCCTAAGCAATCAGTGCATTTGCAATGACAACTGGTTAACTGGGACTGGGGTCACCAGAGCCATTATCACAAATGCAAGCCCCAAACGTGTGCTACTTTGGCATCATCACTGCATTTGAAAACGTGACTGTTGGGGTGGTTGTGACATGATCTGCAGCAGGAGCACCAACCACAACACAGAGGGCAGGCAGGCTGTTCTTCAGCTTGGTGTTGTCAGTGTCTTAATGGTCCAAGAAACTCTGTACGGTAAGAAAAGCAGAATCTTGAAACCCTAATCTATCATATGAGAAAAATCATCATGGGCGCCTGGGTGGCTCAGTTGGTTGGGCGACTGCCTTCGCCTTGGGTCATGATCCTGGGGTCCCGGGATCGGGTCCCGCATCGGGCTCCCTGCTCAGCAGGGAGTCTGCGTCTCCCTTTGACCCTCTTCCCTCTCGTGCTCTCTCTCTCTCATTCTCTCCCTCTCAAATAAATAAATAAAATCTTAAAAAAAAAAAAGAAAAATCATTTTGAACATATGACTTGTAAAGGATTCCTTGGAGGGGAGTTGATTTCATGTCTGGAAGCAGAAATAACTACGATAAGACTGGAACATCCTGTTGTGACCACAAAGCAAGGATATTTCCAATAAGGTCAGGGACGGTGCTACAAGGACAAAGGCACTGGTCCCAAAGAGCTCCCATTGACCAAAGTAAATCAATCTGATCCATCAGAGCAGAAGATACTAACCCTGGTGAAGTCTGTGAAAGGCCAGGAGTTCACAACCATCATCAAAAGAGAATGGTACAAAGTGTACAGAAAGGAAACTGTAATACAAGTTGATAAAGTAAGACACAGATAATTACTTGTACTGATTTTAGCAAGATGGGACATATTATTAAAATACAGGTGTTTTGTTTTTTCTGTATCTGTCTATGGACCATAGATATTTTTATACTATTTATATTACACTTATGCCAAAAGAGTAAAAACCAGGAACTCCAAGCCAGAGTGTCATGGAAAACCAAGGAAGTGACCCAAGACAAGAAAGGCGTGAAGAACACGCAGTTTACGACAGAAACATCCAGGGAGGAAGAGCGTCTGGCACTGACAATCACATCATCATCAAGCAGACAGAGGGTCCAGAAACATAGTCTGAGATGATAAATCAGCCAAATGAACAATCTACCGAAGAACATTAGGTAGAGTCAATCCTTCATCTCGTGGGTGAGAAACCTCCAGAACGCCCAACAAATTTCAAGAAAATATTCAAAAGGCATATATAAGCTTTTAATAATGTTAACAGATCAGGCCAATACATCATTATGACAGGACAACGGGTTATGTAACACTGGCCAAGCGAGACTTAGGCCGTAAATCATTTCTGGGGGACGAGGGGTGGGCTGGTGGTGGGGACCAGAATGAAAATAAAAACCTACCTGGAAGCCATATACTGAAAATTATAAAGGTGTGACTGATGCCCTGGTAGCCAGGGCCTGACTCACCTTGGGAAAAAGAAGCCAAACTGGGACCATGTGCCACCTGACAACTGAGTGGTCAGAAGCCAGATCTATAACCCGGGCAGGTGTGAAGGTCTTTGGTTTTTGGTGCCCTTATGATCATGTCAACTCTGGCTCAAGGTCAATATATTCTAGTCCTGGCATGAGTCAAAATTAGTGCATCAATAATTAAATGAGTGCAACTTGTAGTGTGGATCTTTCAGAATGGGTTTAAGTGTGTTAGTTTGTAATGATACATCCCGGTATTTCATTTGCCCGTTAAGGTATATCTGACATGTTCAAACTATCAGTTCTGCTAAAATTTTTCAACTAATTCCATTTTATAACCAATGTTTAAACATTTAACGGTTGTTTTATAAATTGAGCAACGAACAACAGGCAAAAAGTGTTCTTAAGCGCCCAGTTAAAAAATCATTAGCAGTAACTTGTTAGCAAGGCTCTCACTTCTTGAACTTGTTTCTTTTCATTGCAGACTTTCATACATTCCAAATGAAGCCACAAAAAGAAAACATGCCCCATACACATTTTAAGTGCAAATACACCAAAACAGTCACAATATATCGGTGTTGTGATAATGGATACTTTAGCTAGCTTCTCCTTTGGTATATTTTTGGAGTTTTCCAATTTTTCCCCACGATGAGAATTTAAATTTTTTACTTTATATAAGAAAAAGATAACAAATATTTCTTCGGAAAAAGAATGAGGTCACCTCTCACTGAGGTGAGTCTTTCTACAGGAAGCAAAGCTTGAGGAATTCCCCTGGGGCTGCTGTGCTGACCATCACTGGCGCATTTCACTGAGAACATCAAGCTGCAGACAAAGGGATCAATGAGTGGCAGGCAACAAGGCCAGGGTCAGAAATAAGAGTGAAAAAGTGAGGACCAGGCAGGAAAAATGGAAAGCAGATACAAACAGGAAGCCAGGGCAAAACCCCAGCAGATCTTCATGAGGTTGTTAAGCCCAAATCAAGAAGACAGGGAGCAGAAGATAAGTTGGTGAGGCTGAGAGCTAACATTGCAGATCACACCAGGCCCATGGGCTGGGGTAGCAGGAAGGTAGTGCCTGGGTACCTGGGGGATCTTTCCATTGGCTCCTGATCTGTACTCAGAACCTCTGACCTGCCCAATTCCCTGTCCAGTAATGATGACTTTCTACACCAGCAATGTTGCTGTATCCCCAGCCGGGATATAATGGCCAGACATGTATGTGTTCATTTCCAGCATCACTTCTAATTATTCAGTGAGAGCGAACCCACTGTACTTATTAAAGGGCTCTGCTACCCAGCTCCCAAATGTGTGCTGGCCAACAGAGCAGAATATCAGCCTCATTTGAGTGACTGTATTCTAAACCACAGAGAGAAAAACTTTTGATAGCAAAAAATTTTAGATATACTTGAGACTTCTCTGTTCTATACCAAGAAGCAGCCATACAGTACGTTTAGGACAGAGAAAAGTGAAGGAGAGTCTCCCAGGGAATGCTGTTTATTAAGTAAACAGTAAAGGTCCTACCTAAGGTCAGATCTGGTAAGGGACAGGCTCAAGAGGAATCTGCTCCAGAATGATTAACAGTAATGGAGACTTCCATGAGTAATTGCATGGCTGAGAAAAACAGTCCTAGAAAATATCACACCAACATTCACATACAAGTGGCAAGAATAAGAAGTTGCCTGTTCTTCAATTACCAAGTTGCTGAAGCCATTGTTGAAATGATCACAAACCGATTTGTAAGCCTCAGTGCAGTTCTATATAATTTCTGTGCAAGAACAGTGACATCACTAGAAAGGAACTTAGCACACCATTTTTTCATAAGCAGCTTAACATTAACACCCCAGGTGTCCATGTCGGGAAATCAATTTAAGCTTCTCCAAGATACTCCAAGAGCATGCCACAGATTTGGAGATTAGCACTATGATGGGTAGATATGATAATGACATTAACTAATGGGAGCTGGCTTAGCAGGTCACAAAAGCAGTACTAAGTGCAGTGTTAAGTGATCATTCTAAGCTCTGAAAAATATTTGACAAGGAATGTTGGGCAACCCATTTGAAAATATTCCTCAAGACAAGCACTTTTGCACAGAAAGCTTTTAGAAACACTGCTGGCATAATGATATACTAGCCACACATGAGGAGGCAGGCATAGAAGTGATCCCGCCCTCTACCCCATTCTAAATTACTAGAATAAAAAGAAAGGCACCTACATTTGGTCTGTATTTCTAGCAACTGTCATCTTCCAAAGAAATCTCATAAGTACTGATCAGGGGGAAAAGTCAAATTACATGACATAATCAAAATTCTTTTCTAGTAGGCCAGCAGTGCAATGAATTATTGTAGAAACCTTTTCCTTTGGAGAGGAAAAGAGCCAGGAAGAAGTTAATATAAACCTCTACACAGAAGACTCTGCCAGGAAAATGACTTCTAGTGATATAAACACAAGGCAGATGTTCTAGAAGAAATTTAAAATTTAATTAGACATGAAGTCTTCCAGCCATTACCTGCGTGAATGCAAGATGACAGCCATAACCCAGATTTTTAAAATCATCTTTGTTACCAACTAAAAATAACGTTTCTTCCAGTCCAGTAAGATAAAAAATTATCTGTGAACTAGCACAATTTAAGCATTTTCAAAAATTAAGTTATCAAACAACTGCTTTAAATTAATGAGTGATAGTTATCTTGGGATGCCTGGGTGGATCAGTTGGTTAAGTGTCCAACTCTTGATTTTGGTTCAGGTCATAATCTCAGGGTTGTGAGATTCAGCCTTGAGTTGGGCTCCACACTGGGCATGAAGCCTGCCTAAGATTCCCTCTCTCTCTCTCTCTTTTTCCCTCCTCCTCTCCTTCTTAAAAAAAAAAAAAAAAAAAAGAACATATCTTGCTTTGACTAACTCAAAGCAACTCTTATGCTTCTTCTTTACCCTCATGGTGCAAGTTCTATTGAGCAAAGGTCAAAAGAAACTATCCTTATATTGGACTTCTTTAGTCTATAATGAGAATTGAAGCCAAATGATAATTTAAGAGTATCAAAATTATAATGACCATTAAAGCTGCTCATTTGATGTATTTGGCTATACTGGTAAACTAGATCACAACTCAAGAATATGGCAACATATTATGAGATCCGTAGAAGTTTTAACTTCAATTTTCTCATTATGCTTACAGGTCTTTCATTAATTTTCTGGTATTCTGTTTTGAATTAGACTTAAAAAATCAGGAAAAATATTTTTCCAGTTCAAGGATTGGACTTACGTGACAATTTAAAAAATTTGTGCCAAATTCTAAACAACTCAATCCAATAAAAATTTCTTCAGATTATTTAAGTAACTTAAAATCCCTCTTCTAAAACAGAAACTACAGTTTCATTTAAATCTACTTCCTCCACTCTTAGTTGTATCTTTTTCCCCACCTCAATGCATGAATGCAGTATATCATTCTCGGTATGTTTTTCCGGTCATAGACATCTGTTGTTTCTGGATAAAATATCTGGAAAACAAAAGAAACAGTGTGTTTTATTACGTTCTGCTTTGCACAGTTACTTTAAATCTCCCAAATGATGCTACTTGGATTGTCTTTGCTGTATTTATTTAAATGTAGAGGAAGCCCTCCATTGTTGCTCCCTTTCGCTCTACAGGCTGACCCATTGGTGCATCTGGTCCCCTGACAGTATGCCTCCTAGTGGGCTCAGGAGATCGGGGGATTTCCAGGAGGCCACTGCCAGGAGGCTGCATCCACAAGGCTAGGTGGCAGTTTCACTCCACATGTGGCAAGCCCCGTCAGGCTGTGCTCTCTGTAGCAGGGTCATTCCTGTGACTGCCTACAGGTACCCTAGCCTGAGAAGGATGTCCAGCGTACAGTATTTTATTATAACGTTAAATACCTAGCCTCACACTTGGGTATACAGGTATGCACACACACAACACACAATGATATTCTTTTCTGCTTGAAGGAATACATTTTACCAAATAACATCTGGAAAGTAAATGAAGCATGAAAGAAACATTACCTATAATCTCACTTCCTAGATTGTTACCATTAGCCTTTTGGTATATTTTCTTCCAGTCTTTTTTCAATATGTGTCTCTTTTTATGTTTATGTCTGTATGTGGAAACAAAACTGTAATACCATAACCCCAGTAATACTATAGTATAGTATTATTATAGTACCATAGAAGATGACTGTTTTCCATCCCCTTCATTATTCTACTAGAACATTATTTCTAATAGATGTTTGTGATTCTTTGATCTTTTTGAATGATAATTTAAGCTAGCTCTCCAAGGCTGAACTTTTTTTTTTTTGCCCCAACTTGTCCCTATTAAATGTCACTGCAATGAACATCCCTGTATTTTCTGAACACCTGATTACTTTTTTGCATAAACACCTAAATATGTTTGAACACTGAGGTTTTTAATACACATTTACACTACTTTTAAACCTGAAACTAAAAGCTTGATAAGAAACAGATTTCAGAATAGGGCACCAAACCTCTCTGTTCCCAAGCACCAAAAAATGAATAATTAGGCTTGAAGCTTCTAAGAAAAAGAAAAACATACTGGCATTGCTGGCTTTCAGTAGATATTTTATAGAAGTTGACATAAAAACTAAAATGATATCCTAAAATGATACTCAAGTGCAATTTTCTACTGGACATTGAAAAAAAACTGAGAGAAGAAAGCAGCGACGTTTCCTCAGCCACAACGTAGAGCCGCTGAGCGCTTAAAGAAACGTCTGCAGCCTAGGAAACTCCAAGGGTCTTTTCAATGTTCCCTCAACCCCGTTTACTGTTACAGCGTCCATCAGAAGAGGATTTCCAGTTCAGAAGAACAGGTCTACTGGGGAAGAAGAAGAACCCTACGGTTCCCCACTCCCTTTCTTTTCAACAACTTTCTATATTTCTTTGTATCTCTCCATATGGAAATATGTATAGGAATATTGTTTCATTTCTTTTGAAAAATCTTTATGAATAGGCCTTCTTTTAGCAGTAAGATGGGATCAATTCATAGAGCTGCCCAGAACATTTTATTCATCACCGTATCCCCAGCGTTAACATGATGCTGAGCACGGAGTAGGCACTTAATATTGGTAAGTGAAGACATTAGTAGTGGCCAAATACATCCATCAATCCAGCACACTATTGGTCTCTCATCCCTGCAATGTAATGTATCAATCACTTAAAAAAAAAAAATCAGTGTTAAAACAGCATCTGCTACATGGATCACTTATTTGGCCTAAAATTAAGGAAAACCTGGCCCAACACACACAATTTGACAAGGTTTAAATCAAATCTATGAAACATAACAAGATTATCCTAATTTAAAGTATGTTGCCTCATGCAGGAAAATCCTATTTGAATTTTTTTTCTTTCCTTATCAATCTGTTTACTACCCAGTTAGTACTTGCTAAATGATAATCTAGAAATATGAACTCTATGTTATAACTAGTGCCCAGATGGGAACAGCAATTAATGTTCTGGGCATTTTCGGAGAAGGGAAAGTAATGTGATTAAAAATGGAGGAAGAAATCAATATTGAATCAATATTGACTATTTTGAGATAAAATAAGCTGAACTAAATCAGGTATAAGCTCAAATAGATTGAAAAACAGGCCTTCATAATTTACATTAAGGGAATTTTTTGTTTTTGTTGTGGTTGTTAAATTCAAACCTGGATTAATAATACCACCATCAACAGAGGTCTTACATCAGTAGCCTCTCCCCTTGCCTTCAAGCAGGACCACTCCTACATCACTTCTTCAAAATAGCTGTACATCATAAGCAATAGAAAGGAGTGAACTCTTGATACCTACGAAAACCTGATGAATCTCGAGGGCATTATGCTTACTGGAAGAAAGTCAATCTCAAAAGGTTACCTACTTTATGAGTCCACTTCTTTAACATTCTCAAAATGACAAAACCATAGAGATGGAGAACGGACTAGTGGCTGCCCGGGGACAGGGCTAGGAAAGGATGCCATGTCGAGACCTACTCCTCTGTGCTATCACCTTAACTGTGCTGGTGGTCAAATACATTCAGGGCATAAAACTGCACAGAAACAACACACACAAAAATCAATGCACATATAAGTAAGGTCTGTAGTCTTGTTAACAGTAACATAACAATGTCAATGTATTATTTTACTACAGTTACTAGATGTCACCACTGGGGGAAGCTAAATGCAGGATACACACAGATGTACTATTTTTGTAACTTCCTGTGAATCTAAAATGATTTCAAAATTAGCAGTTTAAGAAATCACTCTACAATTTCTAACAAATGTAATTATTTCCTCATTTCCTCTACTTGTCTATTTGTCTCTCAGGCTTAAGGGCACCCACTCGTTCAATTTAACAAGCTCTGAAAACTTGCTGAGTTTTGTTTGGGACAGCTATTTTAAGAGGAAGAGCTATAGTCCTCTAGCTCTTAACATTCAAAGTGATAATATGATCTATAGTAACACTTTATAAAAATACCTTTGTCATTATAATGTGCAGTGATACAATATATGGAAGTATAATACAGAATCTGAAGTAAAAAAGGAGGTGGCTATTTTAAATTAACTATCTACCAGCTAGAGCTCATTCTGACTTGTGAACTTACACTCACTTTAACCTAGCTGCTCTCCATCCATGTACATACTTCATTCTGAGCTCCTGCCATATATTACTTTTGTACAGGCCTTTCCATATTTCTGTGTAGTCCTCACATTTGTCTGAGGCATTAAGGCCATCTGCTGCATTTCCATATCTCAGTATGCCACATCTTTTTTCATAATGAGGTGTTTACATGACCCCTTTTGGCTTCCCAGTTCAGGCTTACCTTGGGTAGACCGATAGACTCCATTGCTCTTAACCACTGGACCGTATTATCTGTGTGTCGAAAATGAAGGCCGGACTTCTAGAGTAGGGATGGGGAGGGGGGAGAAGAAGGGACCACACGAAAAGTGAGTCATTTGTAACAACTTTTTTTCATTAGCGGGATGTTTTCCAATTGTATTTCTCTTAAAATAGAGTTATTAAATCATAAAACAACTTGGAGACACAATAAAGAAGACTGGGCCATCTCAGCAACACTGTTTGTAATGGACCATTCCAGGTTCCACAGTTCACATATTTGAGGTAATTCTGAACTAGAATCTCAAAGACCGTTTAATGTCTAGCACATGCCTAAGGATGCTTATGAGACGTGCGTGCACATGTACGCACGCACACACACACACACACGGTGTCAAGATTTTGGCAACTATGGCTGAGAAACCTAGCAACTTCGGGAAAAACAGGATTTTTAGAAGACTAAATGCCTTTTTCCTGGTTTCTGGTTCTGCCAAAACATTTTTTTTTCTGATCATGAATAGGATTTCTGTAGAAAACCTGGAAAAGGTAGGAAAATACACAGAAAAAAACAAAGATGGAAACAAAAACCACCCCACAGTTCAGGGGTAATTTTAGTGTCTCATCCTCCTATAACTTAATCCTAACCTTTGCCTGTGTAAAAAGTAAACCTTCCGTGGAAATGCTTTACAAGACCTCTGACTATGCATACAATGACGACAGGCTTTCTATGTCTTCAGGTCTCCTTTACAAACTTCCTCAGCTGCCATTTTTTCCTGCACAGTCTGTACCTGTGGTAACCTTTCCTGTATCTCATCCAGTTTTATCAGGTACTGAAATGTTGAGAGCCTTAACACTACCTTGTATGTGTAATTAGTTAAATGAGTAGCAAAATGTGATGCATTTTTTAATTTTAATATATGTAAAAACAGTAATTACAGCGTTTCATTATATAATATCCAATAGCAGAGAATCACATTCAGAAAGCCTGGCTCTTCCCATCTTCTGTGACCTTCCACAATCAAATAGTTTATGTAACAGAAAATATTTCTGTTGCTGTTAGACATACTTTATAAAGTATAAGTCAAATTAACATTAGACAAATGTTTATGCCTTTTTAATAGTGGTCAGACTGAACTCTGTGTGTCAAGCACTGTAAGTAAATTATCTCTGATTTTCAAAACACTCTGCAAGGCAATTATCATTTCCATTTTTTAGAGATGAAGAAACCTAGGCCAAAAAGATCAACTAATTTGCCTAAGGTCAAATAGGTGTTAAGTGGCTGAGCTGAGATTCAAGATGAGGTCTCTGAATCTGAAAACCGTCCTTGTGCTAACATTCCCTGGGGACAGAACACAGGACCTAATGATGGTGGATTATTCTTTAGATGAAAAAGATCAGCAATTACTATGAAATCGACAGAGGGAGGAAATAGTGGGGGAGAGGGAAGGAGAGGGAAAGAGGGGCAAGGGGGAGATGGAGGGAGGGGGAGTGGGAGGGAGCCCGGAGAATCAAGAGCCAGGCGGTACTGTCTGAGGGTGACTCAGCACAAACAACTTTTACAGAATACAAACAATTATCAGACACAGCCACTCGGTGACCATGGAGGGACGAGATGGAAACAATCCACAATCACATCAAGACAGAGAAGAGGACCCTAGGCAGCACAAAGTAACTAAACGTCCTGCCGTTCCAACCAAGATGAACAACTGTTTTGATGGATGACAGTCTAGTTCCCTTCTAACGTTTCACCTCCTAGATAAAAATTACTGAAACACCACAGGGATCCTGCTTCCTGACAACTCCCCAAAGATAACTGGTCCTTGTTTCCCTAAATCCATATTAGAATCACCAGTACAAGCCCAACTCTACACTAAGCCCCTATTTTCTCCTGCTTATAGTCTCAGGGGTATTTTTTTTTTTGTCTTGCCATAACAAGCTTAATAAAGCTGATTTTGTTTGACCCTTGTCTGAAGGCTGGTTTCTGGGCAGTCTCTGTCTGGTGGGCTTCAACAATCCAAATCATGAAACGGACACCCTTGTCCATTTAGTGGTCTTATTAGCTAGGTAACCTCAGAAAAGTTACAATTTCTTTGAACCTTGGTTCTTCAGCCATAAAATGGGTATACAGTATGCTTCTTTGAATTGAGATGAATTGAGAATACACATAGAGCAGTTAGTTGCAAAGAGCACCTAAGAAGGCAATAAATATTAGCTATTATAATTATTATATGCTATAAGACCAGGTTTGCAACTTTTATTCACCTCAAGGTCAGAAAAAGGTTTAGCGCTTCATGTAAGAAACACTGAGAAAGGGAGGTTATCTTGGTCCTATTTCTGCAGTAAACAAAATGAGATTTCAAATCCTTCGTCCATTTTAAACATCTGAGGAATGCTGACTTCAGAATCCTACGGTGTACATATTTAAGAAAGTTCAGTACGTGATGTGCATTAACATCTTCAATTTATTTACTTCAATTAGAACAAAAATAGTCTTCTAAACATTTTTATATCTTCTTTTGTTTTTAAAGATTTTATTTATTTATTTGAGAGAGAGAGAATGAGAGATAGAGAGCACATGAGAGGGGGGAGGGTCAGAGGGAGAAGCAGACTCCCTGCCGAGCAGGGAGCCTGATGTGGGACTAGGTCCCGGGACTCCAGGATCATGACCTGAGCCGAAGGCAGTCGCTTAACCAACTGAGCCACCCAGGCGCCCTAAACATTTTTATATCTTAGTCCAAAATAATCTTAGTCCATGATAACCACTTTCAGCTTGTCTATTTTTTTTTCACCAGTCCTACGCATTCATACTAGACTAGGTGGCATGTCTATTGTCTTATTTAGGCAAGAGTTGTTCATGTCCATCCACCTAATTTCTTCCAGCTAGTGGACTAGAAAGTACATGCTGATTTTCTTCTGCTATTTCAGCAGCAAATAAGGTTATTCTAGCTTAAATTGAACAGATGAGGAATTATTGAAGTCTTCTCTGGATGTAACTTCTTACACAAGAGAATCAAAGCACTTTGGAACAATGAGGTAGCTTAGAAGCCAATAATTATTCTGATTTGCTTATTCTGTAGAGGAGGAAACTGACAGCAGGGTCCAAGAATTTAAGATACTTGAATTGCTTTAACTGGTTAAGCTCAGGGTCAAGCCCAGGTTGTAGAACTCCTGACTCCAAGTCCAAATAGATAATCTACTCAATTTACTGGTCACAGAGCCTCACAACCACACCTCTAAGCTTCGTAGTGCACGCACCTCCATCAGGCATTGTGCCAAGCATTTTGCATGGATGATCACATATTTTCCTCGCAATATCTCTACAAAGGTTGATACTATTATTATTATTATTACTACTACTACTACTATTATTATTACTCCCACTTTACAGGTGAGGAAACTGAGGCTCACAGAGGCAAAGTTAGTGAGGAAGCCAGTCTCTGAAGTATTTTGATTCTACAGCTCACACTACTAACCATTGTATATGCTCTCCCTACCTAACACTCACCTAAATAGTCAACATCTACTATAAGTCTACAGTTAGCAATGTAGTGTCTGGAAAGATACTGTTTTCTGTCCTCATCAAGCTCCAGGAACGCCCTTCTCTCTCCCTCCTCCTTCTCTTGCTCATCTTAACCCCCTTGGGAACACGCACTCATCTTTCAAGGCTTCATCATGGAAGGCTTGGCCTTTTCACCACTCCACCCCCTTTAGACCTGGCACTCTGTCCTTAGTCACACCCCACTGTCCGCACAGCCATCTTCTCTTCATGGCCCTCCGTCCATTTCTAATCCCTCTCCAGGTTGTTTTCCCTCTTGAGTCCATTTACTTCTTGTCTATACAGGCTACTGTTACCTGTAACCCAGGCTGAGTTATACCGTGACTGGACTGCCTCCACCCTCATCCTCTAATTCATTTCCCACATAGCATCTTTGTAAAGCCATAATGCCTCTGTTTTACATTTTGGTGGCTTCCTCTGTAGTTACTTAGGATGAAGTCACATATCTTCCAACCTGGTCTCATTTTTCACCACTGTCCCTCACCATAGGCTTTTGGCCACTCTGTTTGTCCAAGCTCTTTTCTTCCTCAAGTCTCTCAAAAACAGGCTCCTTGTCTCCAGACTGTCCTCCTTACTCTCCCACCCTTAAAGCTGCACAGGAATGATTTTCTTCTCACTCTTCCTGCCTCAGAAGTAAATGTTTCCTCAGAAAAGCTCATCTGTCCATTGCTATCTGTCAGTAACACTGGCTTTAATTTCTTCCTTCATACACTCATCACAACCCACAGCTGTTTATTTACTTATAGTCTGTCTCCCCAACCCTAACTGCCATGAACTCATGTCTGCCTTGCTCACCACTCTGCCTTGAGTGCACACAACAGTGCCTGGCACATGGCCGGCGTTGATAAGCGCTGTACGGATAAACGAATTCCACCCTGTACGTACTTCTATCATAGTAAGACTTTATATTCTTTCCCTATAATTTTTTTTAAAATTCAGGGCTCTTAGAGTACTATTTATTTATTCATGAGAGACAGAGAGAGAGAGAGACAGAGAGACAGAGAGACCGAGGACGAGAGGGAACACAAGCACGGGGAGTGGCAGAGGGAGAAGCAGGCTCCCAAGGAGCAGGGAGCCCGATGTGGGACTCGATCTCAGGACCCTGGCATCATGACCTGAGCTGAAGGCAGACGCTTAACCATCTGCGCCACCCAGGTGCCCTCCCTATAATTTTATTAAAATTTATTATATTACTTATCTACCATTACATAATGGTTGATTATCTCAAACCCAAGTAATACATAAGAAAAGAATCACCTGGGGTGATTATTAAGAGTGCAGCTTCCTGGGTCCCTGGCCAAGAGATTCTGCCTGACTCAGCAGTCTGGGGGTGGGGTGGACCCACGAGTCCACATTTTTAAACATACCCATCAAGTGGTCCTGCAGCAGGTTTTAGTATCACACTTGGAGGAAGAGTGTCAGACTCGAAGCACCCCAACTATCAAATAATCATAGAAGAAATGGAGTCCTTTGGCTTGTTTGAAACACTGTCATTCGTTTTGTTTTGTTTTGTTTTGTTTTGTTTGTTTGTTTTTACCCAACAGCTATTTCCCTAGCACCTACCATGGGGCTACATCCCTCACCATTCACTGAGGATAGTGCAAAGATGACACACACAGTTCCCGCTTTCAGGACAAGGCACTCTTTACAGTATACCATGGGTGTGTCCAAGAGGGACAGTATCAGGAGCTAGAGCACACGTGGCATGGTCACATGGTCCCAGAACAGGGACCTGGAGGGAGTGGGAGGTGGACGTGGCCAGGGAAAGGGTATTCATCATTAGAAGGTTTAAATCTAATATCGAGGACATTTTTCTGACCTTAAAATAACGAGGGTTGTACTTAAGCTGGCAGACAAAGAGGGTGAGAACAGCATTGAAAGCTCCCATCTGCTTATCTCAGAGCCATTATTGCCCAAACTGAGGCCTTTAGAGTTGGAGGACAGAGCTCTTGCCTCAGAGACACACTGCCTAACGGGCTGGTCATATTTTATGGCTTCAGTCTAAGCAGACCCTGCTGTCAGAGCCCATGCTCACTGAACTCATGGTTGCCAGATGGCATATCCAGGGGCTGGGGCTGGGCTAACCCACATTCCCTTGTGTCTCAACGTCTTTGCTGCAGTCCCATGATTTTCAGTGCTCCTTTAAAGGACCACAGGACGGGCTTTAGTCCTAAGGAACCCAAGAACAGGAAGCTAAGTCTCCTGTTCACTAACATTTGACTCTTCTCAATTTTGTAAAACGAATGAAATGGCCTTAAAATTTTATGAGTACACGGCACCTCACTAAAAACTTTCAAAGACATTAGGCATTCTCAGAGATTTAATAAAAGAGGGGGAAAAAGCTCATTTGTCCAGTGAATCAAGAGAGAGGGAGTTTCCATTGGGCCTGTACTTTTTCCCACATCACAACTGGCACCACCCCCCTCGCTCTGCTACACCTCCCTTCTCTCTGCCCTTCTGCTAGCATCATCCCTTCTTCCGCGTATCCGTCCTCCAGGACATGATGGGCGGGGGTGGCAAACACAACACTTCTGTCTCAGTATTTTGTTCAGGAATGTCACCACCTGCCTGGGCTCCACAGGTATTTCATTTTGTAACAAGAGACTGGAAATATTTCCCCTGTCTCCATCCCAAAGAGAAGCTACTATTCATTCAAACAGTAGGTTCTCTGATGCCACGAGGAAGTGGTGCCTGTTTGAGTTGCCACGAGAGGGTCTGCAGCTCAACTGGAGACACTTCTATTCAAAGGTGCATGATGTGCCAAGAAGAGAAAAGAGGTAGCCCACCCTCTCCTTGGAGGCTCACCGTCCACTGATGCTCTTGCTGGCCTGATTCTCATCTCTGGCAATGTCAAAATACCCACAGCCCCCTTTTAGGATGGGCTGGAGCCCAGCCCAACTACACTTGAACTCTGTCATCAAATCTACATGGCTGTTAGTAGAAAGAGGACTAGAGCATGGGACATGGTAATAACCGTTATAGAAGCAATGAAGAAAGAAAAATCGGGCTGCAAAATGTGGACAATTTACTTTGTATTGTGGGGATATAAATACTTTTTTTCTGTTCTTTTATGAACTAAAAAAATATTTTTCAAAGTTAAATAAAATAATTTTGCCTGACTCGATCACTGATTCAGGTAAGCCTTATGAAAAGCTAACATAATGAGCTAAGACTCTAGGGAGGAACACATGACTTAATCAACTCAAAAGTACTTTAACAAACACATTTATTCCTACCACTATCCAAGGCAGAAACTTTTGCTCAGTTATCTTTTAGACGAGAATATGAAAACAGACTCATAAATGATGTCTTAATTCCTCTTGTCTATGGTTAGCCTAAATGATTACTCAAACATTTATTCTGAATTAAATCTACATTTTAGTTTTTTAAAGATTTTATTTAATCATTTGAGAGAGAAAGAGAGAGAGAGAGAACACAAGCGAGGAGAGGGGCAGAGGGAGAGGGAGAAGCAGGCTTCCCGCTGAGCAGGGAGCCCGATGTGGGGCTCAGATCCCAGGACCCCGGGACCGTGACCTCAGCCGAAGGCAGACGCTTAACAAACTGAGCCACCCAGGCGCCCCTAAATATACATATTTTTAAAGTAAATTTTGCTTATTTGTCAGGGGTCAACTGTATAATAAATTAAGGATATAAAGAATCACATTTCAGGGAAGCTTTAGAAACCCTGGCCCAAAGTAAGTGATGTCTTACTCCAGAAGAGAATACCATGCACTTAAAAAGTCCCTTTTGAAGACACTTGGAGGGGTCTTTTAGGTTGGGGTCTTTTAGGTTACTGCTCTCCTTTTCCTCCTTCATTTCTTAATGAAAAATGTCAAACACAAAGTTGATGAAATAGTATAATGCACTCCTATGTACCCATCACCTAACCTCAACAATTGTGAACTCATGGCCAGTCTCGAATCTCTCTCCATCCCCCTCCTGATCATTTTGGAGCAAATCCTAGATACGTCCCTGTATCTGTCAATACTGAGACATGCGTCTCTCAAATAATCATTTTTAAAGTCAAGACTGTTATTTATTTTGGTCTTGTTTTCTCCCCATGTGTCCTCCCAAATTAGCCATGAAATAATTAAAACAAGTTGCATGCAAAAAAAAGTCTTATTTTATTTTAAACATTCAATGGAACAGAATTCCTACCTGACTATTCAATGTTATTGCTCATTTGATCACAGTGGCCCTAACTCTTTGGGGCCACAAGTTCAAGTCCCAGCTGGGTACTTTACTCCTTGATGAGAACAAGGGGAGTAATAAACTGCGTCGGGGGTGGAAAAAAAAAGAGGGGAGAGAACGCCCTCATTTTTCCCTTTACCGGTGCTAATAAAAATGACTTCCATGAAGGAATAATGGAAGGGGGCTGGGAAGCCCGACAAATCAGACGTGTCTCAGCCTCAGCCCAGAAATAGAAACATTCTGCTTTTAAAACTGCTGCTGCCTCAGGAATGATTATTAGCAGGCTTCAAAGACCAAGGACACCCCGCCTCCCATTCCACAAAGTCCCTGTAGAAACACCAAGAGTAAATGCAGGGAAAGGAAAGGAAATACTGAACTTTCACTTTTAGATGGAAGCCAAAACCAATTAGATCTCAGTTACCTTATAACGCGTTTGTTCCACATCATAGATCTTTTTCTCTGATACCATTTTGGGGGCAAAGAACTTGGCTAACTTTGCAAGGTAAACCCCATTCCGGAGCCCTTCTTCCAGTTCAGTGGTTGGTGGCAATTCTTCAACTAAGCAGACTTCCATCCACCTAGAAGGATGAGAGAAAAAAACGTTCAAGTGATTCCAGTTGGGTCACTTCGTGTAGATGAAGAGACGCAGCATCTTGCTATGTGTGTTGGAGATACTAACAAACGGAGCAGGACCTGAAATATCTTTAGCTGTCTGAGATGGGAAGAGAGGACTTTCTGGGTGGGCAAGGATTCAGAATACGAGATGAAAAAGGGCGACTCAAAGCCCAGCGCCACCGAACTCACTTCCACGCCAGAGCCTGTCAACTTCATCATTGCCTGAGTCGCAGCCAATTCTCTTTTGTGCCAAAGAGGAAAATGGCCAAACCATTTTGTATGGGTGGAATTAGTCTGCTGACATTATAGAAAAAAATAATTCCAAGTTTATAAACCCGGAGTGGAGCAGAGACTTGTAGGGCTGATGCCTTAGGGAAAGCAGAGTCCAAGGTACTGTACAATCTGTAGTTGCCTCAGTCCAGAAATGACTACGGGAAAGGGTAGAAAGGTGTGGAAAAGGAACACCAAACATTCAGAATGTTTTCCTCAAATAATACACATTCCATTTCCCAATACTGGGAACTTAATACAACATTCGTACTTTTGGAGGGAAAATGCAGTATTTACTGAGTTACAAAAAAATATCTCAGAAAAAGATCAGATTAAATCTTAGGACACTGTGCCAGTATTGTAGAAAAAAAAAGCACCAAGGTCATTATGTGCTCAAGGACACACAGTGGGAGGGGAGACTGGGCCAGCTCACATTTCACACCGGTGTGTCAAGAATTTGCCAGACTTATGAAGATAATGCTATTCCTATCCATTGTCAAGTAACTATTACCTACTGTAAGATCCAAGAGGCAGATGTGCAGGTGTTTAGCGAAGGAGCCCTCACCTCCCTGCCACTGATCCACAAATCAGGAACTATTAGTGTGAGTACCATCCCTCTATGGCCAGTCCCTGCCTGAGGATCATTCCCACGTCTGCAGCTGATCCTATCAGCATTTGGCACAGAAGGACACTGTTCTGCGATATTAACAACTGATCCTGATCCAAGCAGTGAACACTGCAAAATATCCCAACTGCTTGTAGCTCTGGACGGCAGCTTTTAAAACCTCAGAGAGTCCCTAATAAACAGTATTTGCTGGCCACTTACTAGGCATCGTAAAATGTGGAATATATGAGAAAAATAGAAACATAAGCCCTGCCTTCAAAGAGCATTAGATATAACTGAAAACGCAATGAGATTCAAGGAAAAACCACAGAACCACACAAGAAAGGTTATTATTCCCAATGCTACACGGTAGTGCTTAAGAATAAGGCTGGGAATAAAGGAGGGTAACTGGGTGATCACTGGACTTAATCAGAGAAAGCACTGAAAAGATGATGGGACCTGGATTTGGCCTAGAAAAATGGAGTATTTGCAAAGGCAGAGAAGCACCAGAAACTGGGGAGCAAGACAGACTAAAGGCATAGAGGAAACACGGGCTAACTCATGGAGAAAACCCAGAGAAGACTTTGGGCTTCTGGGGTTCAGGGGGAGAAAGGAAATGAAGCTGAGTATATAAAGTTGGGCTCAGCAGGGCCTAGCACCAGAGCAGTGCTGTTATCTGTTGCCACAGGAAGCGGGGAGCTCCTGGCAGCCTCGCGGTGAAGGAGTGACACGCTGACAGTGGTAATTAGAGAAAATTAATCTTGTATGATGGATGCCCCGAGACAAAGCGCTCTTTCAGGCCTTTTCCATTGTGAGGAACAGAGGGGCTGAATTAGATAGAAGCAATGGGAAGGAGGGAAACCAGGAGACACGCTGAGGAAGCAAGAACAGGACTTGGTGACAGCTTAGAAAAGGAGGTCAGAGGAAAGGAAAACACTGCCGGCCAGGGCGAGGGGTCTGGTGTGGAGAGAGCTCTCTGCACGGGGATCCAACCCCGTGTTAACTGTGTGCCCCCAAGTATGTACCGGAATCTCTTGGGGCCTGTTTTCTCCTCTGCTAATGGGGTAGAGAATTAGAAGGATGGAATGATCATGTTTTTCCCAGACCTAAGATCCTAGGGGCAACTGTGAAACTGGGAGAATAAGGAAATGGTAAAACGAGATGAAGAACTTGGCTTTCACATATCACATACAAGGTGTATAAGGGGTATTTGGTTTATAGGAGCCTTGCTTCAAATTACTGAAGAGTACGTAGGCTTGAGAGATTCCTTAAAAATTAAGAAATCAATAATAATGTTGCTTTTTAAATAAAAATCTGGCCAAGTTAAAATCCACTGTACTGGGCCAGTTTTCTAATCTACATAAACTACAAGTCACAGCATTATGCGAATTCATTTTAAAACACAATCTGCTTTTGAATAATTAGCTTGACAATTTAAGAAATTGTTTTTCACACAATATATAACTGCTTTATAACAATCCCATGACTGGAGAGTATGTGTGAGGGGTGGGTGAGAGGTAAATTGACAATTGGCAGTGGAGGGGGTTAAATTGACAATACAGAACAAAGGGCAGGAAGCTAAAACAAAAAGTGAAATATGGTATTTTTTAGACTTGGGCTTGTTAACAAAAAGATAATTATACTTATTTCTGTCTATATTAGAATATATGTGCAGTTAGCTTCAAACACTATGGATACCAAAAAGTTAGGTTAGCCACAGCCTATTTAAAATACAGCCACTGCTAATACTTACGACATTATGAACTACTTGAGGCAAAGGCCATCTCTTCTTCAAGTTTATAATTAATCCCTTTGTGCCTGGCAATGTGTTTATACATTGTAGGTACCCCATAAACTGTTATTTAATGACGGATTCTGAGTGCATAAGAAAAACTTTTGCAAGCATCACAGTTGCATCATAAAATCTTCAGGACACTGCCAAAGATATGTCAGTGTAGCATTTTTGCAACATTAAGCATCAATGGGGATATCTCCTTTTGCTTCCTTGAACGTTAAATGATGAAGCTATTATTATCAATGATAGCTCATATTAAAGCACTATTTTGTGCTAGAACCTGTATTTAATACTTCTTGGGGATTATCATCTAATCCTCAAGATCGCCTCATAAAGAAGAGGTGATATTAAGATCACCATTTTTAGCTGATAACCTGAGGCTCAGTAAAGCCCCATGCCACACAACTGGGAACTGAAAGACCTCAGAAAGGTGCCAGGGCCTCTGTTCCTCTCACTTTAACTTTGAACTTCTCACGATTCACCTGGGCTACTTCCAGAGTAGGAGTAAGAGTTCCATGGTTTGGAGACATATGTGCCACCATTATCTCAGTATAGGGTCAGACCAGAGTACAGGGACTGTCAAAATTGAGTAAATTTCCTGGGGTTTCAATTATCCTCAAGAATTCCCTCTTTGTCACCTGTCTTGAAATGATGAATGGTAAATGGCATAGGCTGCCTCCTATGGGCGCTGTTTCAAGCAGGGATTCAAGCAGGGAATGTTTCAAGCAGAGTATGAAAAACTTAGAGCCTCTCTAAGGGGAGTCACCTCCTAGAGAATGCCCGTAAGCCTAGACAAGATCTCAAAGAGCCTTTAAAATATACTACTTGGAAACTCCTCGTAATTATTAGTCAGTGGATGATGAACAAAAATTGAGAGCAAGACTATTCTTCTGGGACAGGTGGTAAACTCTGACCAAAAAATCAGATAGACTGGCTACTTAACCTTGTTCTAAAGGTATTAAAATACCTCACAACGAAGCACAAACTATAATGCGCAAACGTCTAAACTAGGACACAGTCATGTGGGTTGAGAATCCTTTCAATCTACCTTTCAAAAGTATAAGGAAAGAACCTGGAGCAGAGATACCAAATGCTAGGAGACACCCCAGAAGCTAGGAGACAGCTAGGAGTGGCTGCTGGCCAGGGTCGACATTTCCCCATTTCCCATTCCCGTGGTATCTGTGTGGGGCCACGTGGCTGGGTTTTGACTGCAGACTAGGAGAGGAAATGATGTGCATTGCCCCTAGGCGTGCCTCAGGGAAGTCTCCCAGAGATGAGCTCCCCCGACTGTCTCCTCTGCTGTCTGCTGGCAGGATACTAAAGTTCAAGGCAAGGGAGGAGGCGCCTGGCTGTCTCAGTCAGTAGAGCACGCAGACTCTCGATCTTGGGGCTGTGAGTTCAATCCCCACACCGGGTGTGGAGCCTACTTAACATAAACAAAGAAATAAAAGAAAAAGAAAATCTTAAAAAATAAAATAAAATAAAGCTCATGGCAGCTTTGAAAGAGAAAGTAGAAGTACTCCCATCAGCCTGGGTCCCTAAATAACTGTGGTAAAGAAGCCGCTGTGCCTCCTTATCCTTGTCTGACATTATTGAACTTTACACAGCAAGAATTACACTCCTATTGTCAGCCTCAACTCAGTGGCTTATCTGTTGCAGAAGCCAGTGTTTTCCAGCCAAACCAATACCAATTCCTTAGCATGATTTCTATGGCCTACTGGGGTCAAATTTCCTCTAATGATCACAATGGCGAGACAACTGGCCTGATGTTCAGGAAGTCTGTCTCTGCCATCGGTAGCTGGATGGCCTGGAACAGGTCATTTAAAAGTCTAAACTAAATTTTAACCCTGAGTCTAAAATTATAATGGAATTCAGTATGATAGCATAATTATGTAATATGATTTTGTTTTATTAACCGTTTCATTGACAAATAATCCATATGCCATACACTCACCCATTTAAGATGTACAATGCAATGATTTTTAAACATTTATGGGGTTGTGAAATCATCACCATTATCAATTTTGGAACATTTACCATACTGTTTCCAAGGTTCATCTATGGTGTAGGATGTATCAGTACTGCATTCTTTTTTATTGCTGAGTAATATTCTGCAGTATGGCTATATCACACTATCAGTTTATTGACATCTGGGTTTTTCCCACATTTTGGCTCTTAGGAACAATGCTACTAACTTGTATATTAACATTAGTGTACAAGGTTTCAGATGGACGTAGGCTCTCATTTCTCTTGGGTATATACCTAGAAGTGGAATTGCTGGGTTGTAAAGCAAC